TATAAGTGGAACAGTCATGGAACAGCTGAAAATCGGTTAATTATCATGCAAATTAGGTTATTAATATTCATGGATTTTACCCAAAACTAATCAAATATGCGTATTAGTTCAGAGCATCCATGTGCCAAGTTTCATCAAAATCCAATGAGTGGTTCTTCAGATATCAGTGGAACAGTCCTGGAACAGCTAAAAATCAGCTAATTATTATGCAAATTAGGTAATTAATATTCATGGATTTTCACCAAAACCTAATCAACTCTGCGCATTATTACAGAGCATCTATGTACCAAGTTTCATCAAAATTTGATTAGTGGTTCTTGCGATAACGGTGGAACAAAAAAAGTGACAAACATACATACATACATACATACAGACATACAGACAGGGTAGCTGCAAAGACTCCCTTTTGTGCTTCGCACACGGGAGTCAAAAATCAGTGAAAATAAATTCCATACAAAACACCCTAAAAGCCTTTTTTAGCAAAAATAAATTATTTTACAGTACTTAAGTGTTTGTCTGAATAAAAGTCTTCTATATTATTCCAACATCGGTTATAAATACATATGTTGCTATAATAGCTTTCATTTACTAGTACTTAATTTGTGCATCAGAATTGAACATCATCATGAATGATTACATAATTCATAAGTGAAGTCTTTAGGAGTCCTATACATGTAAAACAAGTGTGTTTTTTTCAAAATTCAAATACTTGCAGCGCAATGACTGTAGCGTTTAGAGCAATACATTTTACAGAGTAATGGTTTTAGTTGCCAAAAACGCTGCAACAAATTTAATGCGTCATAGTCGCTACATAAGAATTCCGATGATGTAAACAATGTACATGTATTTATTTAGACATTGTATTTATTGCGTGATGGGAAACAGTAACACCATGACATGCACTTTTTTTTAAAAAAATATGTGAAAATGCATCCATTATTTTTTTTTCTGACTTTTTGCATCATTTATTATCCTACTGATTTGCATTAAATTTACAAAATTAATTTGCAAAATCAAAGAAAGCTTAGAAAGAGATATTGATTGAAAAGCTGAAAACTAATTATGCAAATCAGAAAATAAAAATGAACAGATTTGAGTGTAAAACTAATAAGGTCTGCGCAATGTAACAGACCATCGATGTACCAAGTTTCATTGAAATGTGATTAGAACCAAGAAATTATGAATTATTATGGGAATTAATATGAACAGATTTTAACCCAAAACTGATCATATTTGTACAATGTCCTAGAGCATCTATGTACAAAGTGTCATTGAAATGTGAGGATTAGTACCTGAGATATCAGTGTGAAAGTTGAAAATTGATTAATTATGCAAATTAGGTGATTAATATATAAATATCAGTGTAAAAGTTGAAAATTGATTAATTATGCAAATTAGGTGATTAATATATAAATATCAGTGTAAAAGTTGAAAATTGATTAATTATGCAAATTAGGTGATTAATATATAAATACCAACAACTAATTGGCTCTCTGTATAGTTTAGATTCATTTAAAGATGATGATTAGTAGTTTGAGATATCTAAACAACTGCGAATGAAATGACAAGGAGTATTCACATATGATTAACGGAAATCTCAATTATGGCCAAGATAACCTATTTCCTGTTCCAATTACTATGCAAATTTTAAGTGGAAGTCAACAAAATGACAAATCCATCTATCACATTTGATAGCTGTATTGAATTTAAATGAAAAACTGACAGGTACGAACCAACAGATGTTATTTGTAATTATATACTAATATAGTTATAATTTATTATTATACATCTGTCACCATATCATTATAAGCTGCAGAGTGTCGTAATTTTGCGCTACTGCACGAGTTATCTGCTTATTACCTCACGAGAAAGTGCAAATTCCAAACAGTATGACTATGTGGTTTTCCAAGTTAGCACATGTTTTAGAAATATTTTAATAATTTTCTCAATTGTGGGAATCCTACACCAAGTGATTAAATAAAAAAAATAAAAATATATAATAATGAGGTTATTATGACTTTGAGCCCCAATTTTGAGCCCAATTCAAAGGTTGAACTACTGAGCATGTTACTAGTACTGCACATATACCAAATTGTATATAATTGTGAACACTATTTTCACACTAGCAACTCACAAAATCAAATTTTATAAACGTTTTAACAATATTATGATTCGTATCAATAATAATAATGATTTTATTTCATCCCATGTCACTAATTAATTTTCGCAATATAAAGAAACAGATGTGAATTAGGAGAATACTGAATATAACTCACCTTTGCTGATGATCGTCCCATTTCATCAATGATGGTAAACAGCTGATTTGAAGAATCGGAACTACAAAACAAAACAAAACACAGTGATTCATGGTTTGTCAACAAAGCCAACCAAAATACAGATGACGTCATTACAAGACATAGATGAGTCAGGTCACATGACAGGACTGTCATCAGGGGAAGTCAAGATTTCAAGGATAAACAATAAATGAACTATCAACTCAAGTTCAACTGATAACAAAACGACATACAATGCTTCCAGGATGCTGTTATTAGCTCAGCAAATGTTGTTGTAATCATAAATTACTATGACTCAGAAATGAAAATGGAATTTTTGAAGAATAAAATTTTGCATAGTTTTTCTGACATTGCTGTCCTCCAGATTTTTAATGGTCCACCCCTTATCTTTACCAAGTGGTTGAATAAGTTGGTAATGTTGGCTATGAAAAACGATGTACTAGTGTAAAATACATTATTTTAGCTGGAATTAATTTTCGCTGAAAAGACTTTTTGAGTCTTTTGGCATGAAATTTATTTTCACTGATTTCTGACTAAATGAATTTAAAACCTAGGAAAAAAGGTATATTCGTAGGATTTTATTTTCACTGAATCACCCACTCAGTAAAAATAGTAGAAATAAATTCCAAGCAAAAATAAAGTATTTTACAGAATTAGCCACCATACTTAACACTAATTTACTCTATAACAGCTGAACTGGAGCCCAGATGTTATTATAATTAAGTGGTTAATAATTCATTGTTTATGTGTAGGCATGTTATTTATTTTGTGATTACGTCATATTTTCAGTTCAGAGTTATGTGTGAGTCATAATATTGTTTTCAATATTTTTGCTGGAAGGATGATTTTTTTTCTATACCAGTATTTTACATTTAACTCATCAAAAATCAGTGAAAATAAACTCCGCACAAATCACCAAAAAGTCTTTTCAGAGATTAATTTCCAGCTAAAATAAAGTATTCCACAGTACTGTAAAACATGTCTCTAATAGCTAACATGTTATTTTCGCTAATTTCGCTAATTCACAATTTCAAGATGTCGCTAATTTGAAATGAAGTATATTCTCACAATAAGATTGTTACTTTACCTAAATTAGGATTTTGTTACATGTAATTCATGCATTGAGTCAAAGTTACTAAAATGGCATATGGCTAATTAAACGTGTTTTACAATAGTTGATTGGGGGTACCGATATCGGAGTAACATCTCGGTTACCCAATCGCCTAGTTTTCCAATCAACAACCCACATTGAGGTTTGTGGGAAAATATATTGGACAATTGGATGGAAAATCTATATATACTGTAGTAAATTATATGATCGTCATTTTGGAAAATATGGCCCACCGTTGCTAAGTCTGTGTTTTGCTGATAAATATCTTGTTTACCTGTGTTTTCGGTATGGCATCACCGCACCATCAAACACTGAAATCGCATCGCCGAGAACAGGGTTGACATTGAACTTGAACTCCATAATGTTTGTCTGGTAACTCAGATCATTGAGCGATCTTGTTATTTGGAAGAAAATTTACAGTGTATGTGGCCACCCAGTCGAGCAGGTTTATCATAGCAGAGGAATGCCGCCATCTTTAAATAATAGTCACCGGCTTGGGGAGGCTCAAGCAACTCCTTGGCATGCTTTAGAAAAACGTGGGTATCGCGTTCCATTAGTTGACGGAGTTCTCACGAAAGTCCGGGACTCGTGAACTACTCAGCGGGCCTTGTCGGTTTTAATGTTATTGATCTACGGTTTACTCATGGAAGGCACTGTAGTAGAACCTTCCATGGTTTACTTCCAAGACGTCCAAGGCAGTTATTCTCCGATAATATCGGATAAAATCCGATAAAATTTAATAGTTTCTGTTAGATACAATATTATAAGAGCCATCTTCAAACCATTAGAATCAACTTTAAATCGACTTTGGGACGATTACACTCACGTGGGATGAATCGACTTAAGACGAATGTGGTTTGGGCGAATCGACCAATCAAAAAAAGCCTGAATAAATTGATTTTGAAAAATCTGAAAATGTTATAAAAATAATAGTAACTGATGAATTTTTCTATTAGAGACATATTACTATATTTCAAAAGAGCTTCGCATATCAAGGGCTTTGGAACTGGAAGATAGGGAGTGTAAATATAAATTTCGTTTTTTAAAAAAAAAATATTCCGACTTTTTATTTCTCAATTATACTATAATTACGTGTTTTCATATAGATTAGTATTTCAATTTGATATGAACGTCTTGTAATGTTTTTTTGCGTACATTATTTGGCAAAAAACAGGGGGCACGCTGCGCTAGGACGGACCATATGTAACTGTCTGAGTCTGAACATAGCATAATACTAACAAAAGATGTACAACTTGATTAGCAAATAGTAAAATAATTAAATACTTTACAGTAACGAATACAATGTTATTTAATTACTACTATAAAGCATAGAAAGCAACGTAAATTTTTTCCTGTAATAAAATACCGTGTGTCATCGTCACATTGCTTACATTTGGGCGTTGGCGTAGAGTGGACATTATATATATATGATTCTGTTATGTGATATGAATAATACCGAGGACTAGCGGCCAAAACAATGACAGATCTGCTTGGTACTCTGACTTCGCAGCTTTATTGTCATCCGCACATATCACAGTGGTTATCTCAGTGCAACAGCGCAACCAATGGCCGAATCAAGTAAACCAGTTGTAAATTAAAAACGAAAGGAATTCACTGTAAAATGCTATGCTGCTGTCATGAATTTGTTTTTGCGTATCTGTTGACCGACTTAATTAGCTGATTATTAGCTGAATTGCTGTGTTATGTCTGTCATCGTTTAGGCCTATTTGAAGTTTTGGACGGAACTTGGCTCAGTGATTTGAAACTAATTACGAGATATCCGTCGCTATTTTGACAGTTTATATTCATAGTTATTAATGTAGTGAACGATTAATCAAAAGATATGACGTATTCAGTACTTAGTGTAATTGGCTTTATGATTGAAAGTTACGCCCTAGAGTCTTTTTACTGTTTTGTAATTGGTTAGAGTTTTGAAAATGAATAAAGAGAGTTTGAGTTGGTCTTGGCGAATACTCCACGACAGACGCAGTCGAGAGTCCAGTCCAGGGGCGAGCCTTGAGGCAGTCCAGTCTTGGGCGAGTCTTGGTTCAGCCTTGTGAGAGTCTTGGGGACTTTTCCCCAGGGCGCTGTGTCTGGTAGAGTGCTCGATTGACCGACTAAGACGACAGCTGAAACGTATTTCGTTGTGTGTGTCTTATTTGACTGTAAAGTATAAGTGACATTCCCGATCCCGTACCTCAAGGGGACGAGATAGAGAGACGAGACGAGATTCCCCCTTGACAAGGGTGGAGAACCCCCGTGGAGAGAATTTCCCCCTGATACTGCTTCCAACAATAGCTGTAAATATAATTTCCTGGCACTGCTTTTGCTTTTATTTTAAAATAACAAAATAAATCAATTTCACGTTTTGCATACATTCCGTTTCATGAAGACATGAAAGTTTATTGAATGACAATTTATATGTTTATCCCTGTTGAAACTCACGTTTTATTAAAATTTAAAAGAGATACTTTCATTAACTATAGAAGCTATTCGTTAACACCCATTATCCAAGTGAAGTGTTTCTTTTTTCATATGCCGAGTTCATCTGCCTGTGATTTGTCAAGTTGGGCTCAACAGTTATTTACCTTATACATGTATGAAAACAAAATAGCGTGACCATTGCAGCCACGTACATTGAGAACTAGATTAAATAACAAATGCTTTTAGATAAAACTAATAATGCAATGTTTTTCTTTGCAGGGAAAATTCGAGTATATTTGTATTCCCCAAGACTATTTGAATTCAACTGCCAGTTTATTTAACAATAAGTTGGTTCATAATGTTATTTATATTATCCCCAGTGTCGTTTGGGGAAATATGTAATATACGAACGCCTTATATAATAACTGACCAAGAGGACGGGCGATACAACAAGGATACTACGTGCGAGTGTGGGGGTGTTCGTTTAGAAGATAAACTGCAGAGATGGGGAAATGACTGAGATGACATAAACTTGAATCCAATAATTATTGCCCGTGAGATATTCAGCGAACATATATCACACATAAATGGTGCGTGGTGGACATACGTTTCGAGTGAAGTGACGAGAAACGCTTCCCCGTCAAGACACCCCTACGAAACATATATCAATTGAAACGACTACGCTTGCTATATAAGGTGTATCACGTAACTTTCTCGAGAACTTTTTTTTTAGATTTCTGACGAGCGCGAGCAGTTGATCAGTGGTGATGGCGCTGTAACTAGTATCACGCTGAACTGTACTCTACTCTGTGTACAACACATTCTCCGGGATCGACCATATGGAATAATAATGACTTAATTACTAAAAACCTTCAGAGGGTTTGTGTATGGTAAGGAACATAAATACAAATACAATGTACCATAAAATTCAAAAGAGATAAAATTAAAAGGGAAAATAAAAGAAAAATGTTAGTAAAATAAAAGAAAAAAAATTAATTACTTTCTGTGGTTTTAAAAATTGTGCTCTTCAAATATTTTGCTAAGGCTATGTTATTCTCCATAATCTTTTTAAATATGGAATTCACATCCATTGTGTAAATATTTATTGCACACTCATCAAACAGTTTTATTCTTTGTTCTATATTGTAAGTACAAAATAGCAGAAAATGTTTTTCATCTCCTAATGCTTCAGTGTAATAATGGGGGGGGGGTGTGGAATATTTGGTGAAAAAAATGCAAGCTATAGACACCAAAAAAAATGCATGCAAGATGTTACAGAAACAATTGTTGGTAATACATTGTATAAACGACACAGCAAAAGCTAATCAAAACAACGTCCCTCTAGTGATTTTGACTGGTAATAAATGGCAAACTAATTTTACTACACTCAAGGAAGTAAAAGACTGAATTTAAAACGATGTCGAAACAATCGATTTAGTAAATGATATAATAATTATCGTTATTGCGTTCGTATCCCTATTAGGATTTTGAATAAAATGAAATACAGATGTGAAGAAAGACAAACAAACAAAGTGAGAATAAAAAAACACAAGAAAATAAAAAAAAATAAAAAACTGAAATTAAAGAAAATTAAAGTAGAAAAAATATAATGATTGTCGCAAATAAACAGCTAACAGCGGCGTGGGTCTGTGGCGTTTTTGTTACGTCACCATTTCTATGTGAAACCTGATATTTGTCTGTTTTTTAGTGGGGTGCGGGAAGATGTTACACTGTAGCGCATAAGTTGTACCGATTCTCTGGTTAAATTGTACCACTGCAGCACATCCCTTGGCTGTGTAAGGGTTCTATTTTCGGCAACGGATATTTCAGTCGTGAGAATACCAGTGGTACACAATCGCAACAATATAATATTCATAGCTGTATCAAATTAACATTTCTCAGCATATTTGCGTTTATGTATCAAGAGAAAAACGGAAGGTAAAAATTCAATAGAATTAATATGTCGAATGGCTTGCAGATTTTCGTGTCGGATACATCACAAGGGGGCAAATAAAAAAGCTATTTACTTTGTTACAGAAAATAAAATGAAAGTTCCATTTACTGTACACTTACGTATAAAATAAATTCCTAATTACATTTTACATTTTTATAATATATTTGATAATTTGTGTTTAGGAATCAAAATTGGAAATGCGAATTGCGACATTTAATTTGTAAAATATATATTATACGCTTACACAAAATAAGATCTTTGTACAAATTACGGTCGAATAAAATAGCTGATTACATTTTACACCTTGCTCATTTTCACGAATTTTCGTTTGTTATTTATTTAAATTACATTATTGCAAAAATAAAAACAATTGATTACAGCTTACGAAAATATCCCTTGTCAACCCTCAATATACCGTTGTTTCTCAACAAGTGATGTACCGGTACAATGTGTATATCCCGTTCCATTCGATCTGTTTAAATTCGAAATAGTCGGCTTAACCAGAGTTCAACTCAAACAAATGGCAATGTTCTTGAAAGGACTATCGTATTATTAAGTTTGAAAGTTAAGAAAATGTACAACTTATTTAAAGTTCCCTAACTCTCAAAGTTCTTAATTTACTTACGCCAACCATTCTTTTTATATAACGATATTCCCATATAAAAAGAATGGTTGGCAATCCATTCGTTGACACTTCCCAAAATAGTGAACACCTGCAGCATTTTAACTCAACATCAATTTTCCTTATGTGATTTTTCTGTCAGTATTTTGGGAGTTGAGAAGTTATGATATATGTGAATGTGAATAGGAAAATATTGTTTTCTTTATTGCGACAAAATGATTATTTTGTCAGAGTGATTGTGACATTGATGACAATCTTTTTGTTTCTATTATATATACCTGCAAACCATATGCAATTTTTGTTCAAAGATTTATGATCCAAGTACAGGTTTCGCCAACATTCAGTTAAATTATATTCCTAATTTTGATTTTAAAAGCAAAATATGACTGACAAAGCTGTGCGTGATTTATTTTAACGTCAAAATAGAATAAACCGTCTTGTCATTGGTAGTTCCCCAAATTTAAAGTGACAAACACGGATTAAACTATTATGCTTATCGCCCTCGGACTTCGGGCATTTTTGAGATAATTAAATTCATAATACTTGTATATAATTTCACAAGCTTTCAGAATATATAAACTACATTCTGTGACTAAACATTAAGAAAATCATATTACTATTTGTTTAATTAAGATCTACTTGTAATGTACTGTAGTACTATTTTTAACAACGACGATCGTCACGTAGCGAGTGTTCGAATTTCATGTAAACAAACAATGTGACAATTTTATACGCGCTGTATCCTCGGGGACGGAGCTACGTCACAAGACGTTCCACGTTGCTACGACGCGCACCACTGTACATGCATTTCTATGGGTTCTGTGCACGCTGCTGTGGAACGCCGGTCGAGCCGGTGAACATTCGAGAAAACAACACAAACTCAACTTTGAAGTAATCCTGAACAACCAAATTTATATATGTTACACACGTAGGGCTAATCTTGTTACACTGTTCAGAGTAGTCTCAACAGTCATCCCAAAGTACCGTTTTCTGTGAGGTTTGGGCCTTTGTTTTCACCGCCGTGGGTTGCCAGGCGGTGAAAATGCCCGGATGTCCGCCCCGAGGATACTAAGCTGCGGCGCGACGAACACCACTGCCGGGTCCAGAAATTCGTTAAGGGGGTGCGCTCCTAGGCCACGTCATCTGAATAAAATCTATACCCGGGCAGCTAAGGCGCTGTAAATAATGAGTGTCATCCATATTGTTGACAAAACAAAATTACAAATATAACTAAAACTAATAAAATACATAACAGTTAGAAAAAAGAAAAAGATAATTTATAATAAACATGCATAGTAAAAAAGAAAAAGTGTTTCTTTCTTATGAGGCAGCTGGTAATCCTTTTTTAAACTGTCTTCCCTCATAATAAAGCACTGGGAAATAAATTTACTTAACTCTTTTAATATTTGTTTATCTTTTAGTTTTAGTATGTTTATAAACTTTTCATAGTCCTGGAGTATTTTGTGTGTTTGTTGAAGAGGTCATCTCTCTCTTTTTTGAAATAATTGCATTGTATAAGGAAGTGTGTTTCATCTTCGATTTGACCATTGTTGCATATTAAGCATTTTCTTTCGTTCAGATCAATATTTTTATGTCTTCCTATTTCTATTTGCAGTGTATGTGCACTGATTCTTACCTTGGTCATCGCCGACCTTTGTTTTGGATTAACAGTTTCCAGATAATTTTCAAAGGTGTTTTATTTCCTTACTATAGGTTCGTAGTTTATTTTTGTGGTTTCCGCCTTTGTTATCATCATGTAGTGATTCCTTGACATTTTTTTGATATAGCAGTTGCATTTTTTCTTTAAATCTAAAGATTAGATTGTCATGGTTATCACTGTTTTTATTCTATACGTCACTCATGTTTAATAATTTGAGTAGCCGTTTAATACTTGATACCCAGTTGTAGGTGCCTGTTTGTACGCATAGTCTGTAACATTCATTGACCAGTGTATTTTCCGGCTTATTAGCAATTTTCAGCCAATATTAATTATTTGGGTAAGACTTGCTATGAGCAGTGGGTAGCGACCCAGTTCCATTAGGCAACCAATGTTTGTGGCTTTACAGCCAACTTTTGGAACAAATTTACTGAATTTCAGGTGGAGTTTCTCTACTGGTGTTGTGCAGTTTGTTAGGTTTGACGACACATGACCAAACCTCAGAGCAATAAAGCAAAATTGTTCATTTTATATATTGTATATCGTTAGATATACTTTTACCGGGATATTTGTTTCTGAACATAATTGTTGTTTTAGACTGAATAGAGCTTTCATTTTTAAAGTCAATTTAGGCTTTGTCAAGTTTGTGGAATTAATTTTAATACCCAGATATGTATAGGAAAAAACTTTTTCAAGCTCTTTTTTATTTACATAAAATTTAAACTTGTTTAGACTTTTCCCTGATTTATTGAAAATGATTGTTTTTGATTTTGAGATGTTAATCTCTAGTTGCCATTTTTTCAAGTGAGTTTAATGCATTTTGTAATCCAGTGTGTGACTTTGACAGCAAAAGAAGATCATCTGCGTATAAAGGACATGACAACTGACTGTCTAGTAGAGTTGGTGGATCAATTTGTGATAGATCAATGTGTTTTTGTCTTTTAATGTCGTTTATGTATATATTGTCTAATAACTTTCTGGATTGGAAATAGCCTAGTTATATAGCTATTTTACTCTTACTCATCCTGTGGAATTTGAATACATTGATCTAAGGATTTTGTAGTATTTTCCAGTAATGCCATTTTGGACAAGTTTAAACATAAGATTCATGACATATGGAGTCGAAAGCTTCTTTAATTATAATTTTTCCTTGTCAATGCGATCAAGGAGTCTCATGGTATTTGTAAGGGTTACGTCTCTGTAGTTGTTGGGGTCTGTTTTACCCCTTTTTATGGATTCCCATATTCCAACAGCTAGGAAAATGGCCACTTTCCAATATTAGGTTAAACAGTGTTTGGATTTCGTTTATCAGTATGTTTCTACTTGCTTTTATCATTTCATTGGTGATTTTATCTATTCCGAGTGATTTTCCATTTTTTAGGTTGCTTATTGCCTTTTGTATTTCTAACTGTGATATGGGTTGGTCAAGATTAGTTGATTTGAGAATATTAGTTTATAAGTCTTTTTTAATATTTGGGTCTATTTCATTTGTAGCCGTGATTTCATTCAGATTTTTAAAGTGCTGGAACATTATTGCACTTTTCAACATAGTCACACTTGTTGTCGGCTTGTTCTTTCATGAGACGCCAATATTCATTTGGGTTCACGTTACTCAGATTCTCAAGTTTACTTAATATATTACTTTTAAATTCGCTTTGGATCTTTCTTACCAGGTTTTTATACTTTTTTTCAGGCTATAGCATTCGAGTCTCAGTTGTTTATTGTATGGCTCCTTGCTTAGCTTATTTGATAGTTTGTATACATCATTTTTCATGGTGAAAATATCCTTTGTGTACCATTTAGAATTTTATTTTTTTGTTTCTTTTTTGTATTAGTTTTACTTTTCCATTTTTTCTTTAAACTTCGTGAATAATTTATTTACTTGTCAAGTACAATCACATCCTTGAAACACGGGAGTAAAAATAGATGGTGTCAACGACTGATACAGTACATTGCGCAACCCTTCCCAGAATGCAACGGAAATTAATATGGCGACGTTCCTGTCTGTTGATATCAGACGAGATATCGCAATACTGTATCCATATTTCAAGTATTGTGCCAATTCATCTTTATCTGACAATTCGTGACTTTGCTGAATACTGCTGACAGCGCCCGTCGTATAATGCCTCGCAAAAAGCCATTCAGCGTAAAACAGAAGAAAAAGCAACTACAAGATAAGCGAGAGACTCGGAGAAATCGTCAGCCGCAGTCGTCATTCGCAGGTAATGTTTCCACGCAACGTTAAACAACATAACTGTATATTTGTTAGCTATATACTCGATATGTAATGTCGTAATTGTCTTACTGTCTTGACGTCGTAAGTTAATGAGCATTGTAAATGTGTCTGCTCGTACCACAGTAATACACGTGTGCCATGTTTATATTATCGCCCGTTATGGATGTCGCCCATTCTCATTTCGACATAATTATCATAAAACCAATACTGTTCATAATTAGATGCTAAAAAAAACAAAGTGTGTCTCTCTGATTGGTGCTTGCATTTTCCAGTCTCTGTCAAAGTCGAATGTAATGTAATGAGCTTCCTGTTAGTTTGTCCTTTCTTGTCAAACACACGGTTACTATATGTATAACATTATACACACTGGAACACATCGTAGTCGGCGCTGACAGAGACAGGATTATAATGCATTAACTGTAATCATGAGTCTTTCCAAGCTATTTGGTCGCGTAAAACGAGTGCAAAGAGGTAGGAAAACAGCGTTGACATTTTTGGAATGTCTCCTCAAATGTTTTTGTGTGTGTGTGTTTTTTTCCCTGGCAGTAACATCAACTGACAACTGAGGTTGATCATTGTCTTCTGCTGGTTAACTGCACTCAGGATATTTGTCTAATGGATATCTTGAAATATACATCATAATAGGTAGTAGACCTTTTTCAAAATCGAGTGGGGTAGGGTAGATATGGTCTCCATGTATTCCACCCACTCATACTGTATCAGGCTTAAGTCTGTACAATATTACGTACGTTGGCTCTTTCTTTGCCTTTGTATTGTTCGCATTTTATAGTTTTTTTTTCCGGAATAGACTACTCTCTCTACTTTTCTCTTTAAACTATTAAACCATATGATCCAAAATCGAAATTAGTCAAAATATGGAAATAAATGATTTACACCCAAAGCTTTAATGGTCCAGTTGTGATGTCATCTGAGATAGGATAGTCTGACTTTTCTTTTCTAGGTTGGCATTTGATATTTGATTCCTCATGAGTAATTACTTAGAAGCTATGTGAAGCTCCATGATAATACTGATTTAATGCGTAAAAGATACATCTATGGATTGCTAGTAGTATAATCTTATCATTGAATCAGATTTGTGCTGGCAACCATACATAACGATGACATAGAATCTATTTGATTTAATTATTATGCTATAGTTAAATTTCATTTTTTGAAAGTGTTTCAATATTTTAACAGTTGATAAATTTGATCTATTTTTTAATCATGATTTTTTCCATTATTCACTTGCCAAGTAACAGAAAATTGTATTAATTAATTAAGGGTGTCTGATTGCTTGGTTAATTGTATTTTTGATGGATGAACATTTTGAAAATTTAAATTGTTGTTACAACAAAGTTGAAATATTCACAAAATACTAGAATTTACCTCCAAGTGCATCGTACAACAAAGGTATTGTCAAAGACGCAAAACATTAAGATCAGTATCATACCATTTGATGCACTAGGGAATAAATTTTAGTACTTTGTGTATAATCTTACTACTATATGTCTTTTTGTGGTCAAAATATCAAAAAGAAATATAAAAATCACATTTGTACAGTGTTGGGTCTGCCCATGATATTGATACAAACTCATTTGCATATCAAATGCCAAGATCAAAGTGCCAAATTGAGTACTATATATTATGTACCACAAGTACAACAATGAAAATTATTGTGGTGTCCAGTGGCAAAGGTTACTAAGCTAAGTGTATAATTTTACTTTTGCACAATAGTTATTAAAAAAAATATCCTGGCCTCTATGTTAATATTGAGAAAAAGAATAACTAAAGGTTTTGTTTTCTATGAAATGTAGTTTTTGTCTGATTTAAATTTGGTATACAAGAAAATATGACTCGTACATATATGTATTTTTTAATTGATCCATTTTGCTTGACAAAATACTGTGAGGTTATCCTATGATATCACCCGCTGCATTGGCTGTACCGGTATTATCCAGTCACTTTCTGCTCTAAATAATACTAGCCCAAGACGTCACTCGTATCAACCAGCTTTACGAATAAGTGATATCAGGTTATAACCTTTTTTTTCTCATGAACAATTTCTTGTTATCATGTGACCAACTCAGAGTGTCAAAACAGAAATCATGATTTTACGCAACTAGGTTTACAAATTAAATGCTTATTTATGCAAATGAGGCAGAACATCTATTAAGTGCTTTTGAGGATGTGTAATTGAAAGTACAAATCAGCAAAAATATAAATCGTGATTATTA